GTCTTCCCTATGTGTGTAGTGGAGTCCCTGGGTGGTGCAAATGGTTAATGTACTCGGCTGCTGACCAAAAGGTTGGAGGTTCCAGCCCACCTAGAGGTACCTCAGAAGAAAGGCCGACAGCCTACTTCCAAAAACTCAGCCATTGAAAACCCTATGGAGTGCAGTTCCACTCTGACACACATTGGGTCGCCATGAATTGGAGTCGACGGCTGCTGGTTTTTTTGTTTTGTTTTGTTTTGTTTTTCAATATGTGTAGTGGATGTTCTACAGATGTGAATGGTATTGCCCAAGTCACACAGACAACCAAGATCATGCAAAATCCCCAGAGAGGGTCCAACAGGACTTGTCTGGGATGTGTCCAGTTAGTGGAACAGTTCTACATCAGTGGTAGTCATTGGCTAAACTCGGAGTTTCCCTTCCTGCTCCCTGCAGTGGACTTTGGTTCTTTGGGATGGTGCTTACTGAGGAGCCTAAAAAAGTAAGAAGCTGAATGTGTGGCTAGAATGTCTGGACAACTTCCAACCACCCTTTTTTAACATAAAAGAAATACACCAAATACACTTGGTTCCAGGGTGAGTCTGACACCCAGAGTCTCCCTCTCCCTGTGTGTTCCCTGGTGTGACACACCTACAGCTTGCCTAGGGACCCTTCGATAACAGTGACGTAGCCTCAGCTCTAAAGGCTCTCACTGATGACATCAGTGAAAAGCGAGTTTGATTACAGTCAGTGATTAGTGCAGTAATAAGTTTATACCACGGGGGTGTTGAGTGCCCTGTTCTAGGCGAGGGGACTTTAAAGCTGAGTAGGGGTGGGAGGGAGAGGGATGCCTTGCATGCAGAGGGAGCTGCCAGGACAAAGGCATCCAAGACATGAAGGGAATCTGGGGGGACGCTGGAGGGAAGGGAGTATAGAGTGGAGGGTGAGGTTGGAGCAGCAGGTGGGGGCCCAGTTGTGAAGGGCCACTGCTCTGGAGTGACAGTTTGACTCCGGGCCCTCCCAGTTACTACCACTGTGGCCGGGAGTAAGATAGTGTAATCTCTGTGCCTCTGGGGATGCTGATCCCAAAATCCAAAGAAACCCATTGCCATGGAGTCGTTGAGGCTCATGATGACCCCATGTGTTACAGAGTAGAACTGAGCTCTATAGGGTTTTCTTGGCCTTAAAGCAGATCATCAGGCCCTTCTTTTCAGTGCCGGGTGGGTTCAAACTGCCAGCCTTTCGGTTAGCAGCCTAGAACAAACCATTTATGCCACCAGGGATCTTGTGGTGATCCATTGACAGGAAACATCAGAGGGAGGAGCTGGCCTGATGGGGCTAACTGTGTTGACTTTGAGGCATCTATAGGACTTGTACTTGGAGAGATAGGAAGAGACAGTGGTCTGGTGAGCTGAGAGAGAGGGACAGAGACTTCTACGCTTGGAATCATTTACTGTTACGTGGTGAAGGTCTGGTTGTGGTTGGAGCCTGTGGAACAGAACTGGTTTGCTCCAGGATTAACGACATGGGTTTGGAAAAGGTCAAGGGAAGGGACCTGGAGAGCGGGGTGGAGTGGCCCTCAAGCACAGCGGAACTGTGCTGTGCTGTCGGGGTTTGGGTTTCTCCATCATTGCCAGTTCACCAAGTGTCAGGGATTCTGCCTGCAGGGGCTGCTCAGCCTTGACGGGTGTGTCCTGAGGAGCTGGTGGGCTGTGGGATAGGGCTGCCAAGCAAAAGGGACAATTTTTTTCCCCTTAATTAATAGATTTTATTCTTTAAAATAGTTTTAAGCTTACAGAGAATTTGAGCAGATAGTACAGACCAAAAACAAAAATAAAAACTCTTTGCCATCATGTAGATTCTGACTCATGCGTCAGAGTAGAACTGGATTCCATAGTGTTTTCAATGGCGTTCATAGGGTTGCTATGAGTTGGAACCAACTTGACAGCACCTAACAATATTACGGAAGTAGATCTCCAGGCCTTTCTTTCATGGTGCAGCTGGGTGGATTCAAACCACTAACATTTTGTTAGTAGCTGAGTACAAACCAGTTGTATAAACCAGGGACCCTAGATAGTCCAGAGTTCCCACATATCCCCTCTGCCGACGTAGTTTCCTTCTTTAGTAACATCTTGCCTTAATGTGGTTCATTCATTGCAGTTGATGAACAAATACTGATACGTTATTGCTATGTTGTTAACATATTATATATTATTATTATATTGATACATTGTTAACTAAAGTTCATAGTTTACATGAGGGTTCACTCTGTGTTACATAGTCCTGGGGGTTTTGGCAAATGCGTGATGTCCTGTGCTCTACAGTATTATACAAAATAGTTTCACCACTCTAAAACGTGCCCTGGGCTCCACTTATTCATCCTCCATCCCTGGCAGCCACTAGATCTTTTCACTGCATCTATAGTTCTGCCTGTCCCAGAATGTCTCATAAACGGAGTCATATAGGATGTAGCCTTTTGAGTCTGATTTCTTTCGCCAGCAAAATGTATTTGAGGTTCATCCAAGTTTCAGGAACTGATAGTAACTTTTTATTGTTGAGTAGTATTCTATTGTATGGAATACCACAGTTTATTTATCATTGGGGTGAAGGACATATGCATTGTTGCAGTTTTTGGCCGTTATGAATAAAGCTTCCATAAATATTTGTGTGTAGGTTTTTCTATGAACTTACGCTTTCTCTCTTAGATAAATACTAAGAGTTCGATTGTGAAACACATGGTAAATGTATGTTTATAAGAAATTGCTTGTCTGTTTTCCAAAGTGGCTATAACACTTCAGCATTCGAAACCAGCAGTGTATGAAAATTCTGTTTTCTCATCTTTGTCAGCACTTGGTATTGTTCATTTTTTTGTTTTTATTTGTTTTAGCCATTCGAATAAGTGTGTAGTGGTATCTCAGTGTGGTTTTAGTGTGCATTTCTTTAATGATGACTGATGGTGAACATCTTTTTACGTGCTTATTTGCCATCCATATATCTTCTTTGGTGTCTGTTCAAATCTTTTGCCATTTTTTAAATTGGATTCTTTGTTTTCTTATTGTTAAGTTTTGAGAATTTTTTCAAAAAATACATTCTAGATGAGTCCTTTTTCAGATACATGATTTGCAATGGCTTTTAATTCTCATCATTGCAAAGCAAAAGTTTTTAATTCTGATGATGTCCAGTTTGCAGTTTTTTCTTTTATGGATCAGGCTTTTGGTATCATATCTAAGAAATCTTTTACCTAACCAAACCTCACTAAGATTTACTCCTACAAGTTTTATAGTTTTACATTCTAGAACGGGGATCACCAAACTTTTTCTGTTAAAAAAAAAAAAAAAAGATGGTAAATATTTTAGGCTTTGTGGGCCAGAAGGTCTCTGTTGCAGCTACCCAACTCTGTTGTTCTATGCAGAAGCAGCCATAGACAGTATGTAAACAAATGAGAGTGACTGTGTGCCGATAAAATTTTACTTATAAAAGCAGGCAGCAGGCTGGATTTAGCCCACAGGCTGTAGTTAGCCAACCCCTGTTTTAGAAGGTTCACTTTTTGCCCAGCATGGAGAGCGCCCCATTCTGGATAATAAGAATGAGATCATGTTTGTCCAGTTGATCATCTATGAAAGCAAGGCTTGAGAGAATGCAGAGGAGTAGATGCCTGGCCCTTAGAAAAAAGGTGAAGAGAGGGAGAGAGAAAGAAAAAGAGAGGAAGGAAGAAGAGAAATGTTGGAATCACTTTTTAAGTAAACTTCAGTATGCAGTTTAATTTTTCAGCGTTAACATTTACATTTTGGTTTAGGCTTCAGCAAATCAGTTTGTGTGTTTGTTTTTAAGTTAATGGTCCACTTTAAAGTCCCATGGCCACAGACAGTTGGTTTAACCGATTTGTGGAGATTTTCATGATTAAACTCTTTACTGCTGGTAGTCCCATGCTTTCTACTAAAAATTGGTATTTATTTAACACCCTGCCCCATTAATGTGTATTTAGATTGTGTCTGGCTTTTTACTTTTACAAGCCACAGAGTAGCATGTTCCTCACACCTATTTCCCTGCATAAGCATGTGAATATTTCTGCCGAACAGATTCCTGCAGCACTGAGTCAAGGGTCGTACCAAAACCCACTGCCGTCGAGTCGATTCTGACTAATAGCAACCCTATGGGACAGAGTAGAACTGACGTACAGGGTTTCCATGCCTGTGATCTTTACAGGAGCAGATTGCCAGGTGTTTTCTTCGCAATCTTTTCTTTTATGACTTTGATACTAACCTACTTTATAAAGATTAGGGAGCATAGAACATTTTCAAATAATAAAAGAAACCGTGGGATATTACACGAATTTTGCATGTTGTCTGGGGTCTGAAGCAAGCTAGCAAGTAGAGGGGTGGCGGGATCTGAAGCATTTCCACAAGGGAAAAAGAAACCATACCTACCAATCTCGTAACATTCATCTGGGGCTAGGTCGGGAATCTCTGCAAGAGAGGGCCTCGGACTTTATGTAACCATTGGCGAGGTTATTTTTAAAGAAGGCAGAATGCTCATGACCGTGGGCACTGGGTCTTGAGCATGAAGCAGAGCTCAGCAAGGACAGAGATCTGGAGAAAGGGAGGGGCCACCACTGAGACTACAGGCTGGGAGCCGGAGGAACGTTTTCTCTGTGATGACGTTTCAGACCCATGGAAGTAAACAGACTGCATATTTTGAGACAGGTGAAGGGCAGGCAGGTGGATAGACCTCTTAGATTAGGCAGAGGACAATGTTGGTTCAGTGTTAGAATTCTCACCTTCCACGCGTGAGATCCAAGTTCGATTCCTGGCCAGTGCATCTCAAGCGCAGCCACCACCCGTCCGTCAGTGGAGGCTTGCATGTGGCTATGATGCTGAACAGGTTTCAGTGGTGCTTCCAGACTAAGATGGACTAGGAAGAAAGGCCTGGTGATCTCCTTCTGAAAATCAGCCACAGACAACTCTGTGGATCACAGCAGTCCAATCCAGGCAGCATTTCGTTCTGTTGTACATGAGGTCGCCATGAGTCTCAAGGGGGCTAACGCGAGCTAACAACAACGAGGGGCAGATGGGTGGACGGACCTGCTAGATTAGGCAGCTGCATGCCCAGTGAGATTGTACTTTCAGAACAGGGGTTGGTCTGGGTGCTCTCAGCTTCATTGATCTGGACTCTTCTCTGAAACTTCAGTGGGCTGGATGTTTGGTCACTGAAAGTAAAGACTTCTGCAGATCACTAAAGGATCCCAAAACCTACAGTAATGAAGACTGGGTTCCCTGAACAGGCAGAAAAATCCTAATCTCTTTCCCACCTCTGTCACTATGTCTATTGGAATAAAAGGGTGCAGGTGACTGGGTCTGATGGCTGTGGCTTGCCTATAGATGACAGACCAGTATCTGGAATTGGGATGCTAGGACATACGCCGCAGGCCCCTCACTATCCAGCTGAAATCAGTAGTGGACGTGGAGACAAGAGAAAGCCATAAGAAATATTTGGAAAGCTCTTGAGAGACCACCCAACCCCTTTTTACAGGAGCTTTGGTATTGAAATGGTTTGTAGGTTTCTTTGAAGCCCTCTTAGCTGAAGTGGTTGAATCTGTCATTTTGAAAAGAAAAAGTTTTGTGTAAATGCAGCAGTGAGTTTTGTTTTACTACACTGCAGTATGAACATTTAGAATTTACTTGATTTTTTTTTTCCTTTGCAGATTTTTTAAAAAAATACCATGTCTAATGGTTATGAAGACCACATGGCCGAAGACTGCAGGGATGATATCGGGAGAACGAATTTAATTGTCAACTATCTCCCTCAGAATATGACCCAGGATGAGCTACGAAGTCTGTTCAGCAGTATTGGTGAAGTTGAATCCGCAAAACTTATTCGAGATAAAGTAGCAGGTAAAGAAACTGAGGCATTCTGGTACAAAGGGTATTTATTGGTGTCCATCCTGCTGAGCAACGTACTCTTGGCATGTGACTGCAGCATCCCTCGGTGCACCGCTGAAATGATGGTGGTGAAGTTCGTTTTTATCTCAAATGTTGTTTGTCCACTGCCCTAGTATAAGATTGGGGTCCCTGAGTGGTGCAAATGATTAATGTGCTCGGCTGCTAACTGAAGGTTTGTGGTTCAAGTCCACACACAGTGCCCCAGAAAAAAGGCCTAGCAATCTACTTCTGAAAAATCAGCCCCGGGGCACAGTTCTACTCTGACACACATGCAGGCGCCATGAGTCAGAATCGACTCAACGGCAACTAGTTGGTTCTCAAAAGAGAAAAAGTTGATTGTAAGATGAGAGTGTGTACAGAATGAGACGGTAGGAGGAGCAGAAGAGTGAGGAGACCCCAGAAACAGACTGCTCTGAGAGCTAGAGGGGTGAGCAGAGTACCCCGGGAGGGAGATGCCCTGGCAGGCACCCTGCCCAGAGCAGGCACAGGCAGGTCTGCCTCCGTCTTCTCAGGCCCCATGCTTGGCCAGGCCTGTGGCAGAACAGCGAGAACTCTTCCTTAGATTTGAGCAACTCTGGCTGTTTACTGTTGTGCCACTGACTTGAATTTCTGCAACACTGAGCTTGAACTCTGGGGAGGCAGAAGCAGGGCTGTGAATCATCAAATAGGTCATGGTGCGGCGTTGGAGAGTCATTCAGCTCTCTAAGCCTCAGTGCTTCCCTCCAGAAAGTGAGGTGGTGACTCCTTCATCCTGAGAGTCCCAGCATCATAACGGTTTTGTAGAAGGCTTGTGTTTTAGTCACCCAGAAGTACCACAAGTGGATGACTTTAAAGAACAGACATTTATTTTCTCACAGTCTGGAGGCTAAAAGTCCAAATCAGGGTCTCAGCTGTGTTGATTCCTTCCTTGGTGGTAGCCCTGGGCATTCTCTGGTTCCTTGGCTTAGAGACAATCCTCACATGGCGTCTGTCTTCCCAGTTTGTTCTCAAGTCTGTATCCAGTCTCGTCTTTTATAACTCAGAATGGATTAGGTTTAGGACCCACCCTACACTGATACTGCCTCATTAGCATAACAAAGAAAACTGTTTCCAAACTGGATCACACCCACAGGTTAGGGTTCCAGCACCTATTTTGGGGGATACAATTCAATCCATAACAGCCTGGTACCTGGCAAAGCTATCCGAGTAGGGCAGCATCCATTCTGAGAGCATGTTTTCAAGGACTAGAGAAACCGTAGGAAGACCAGGTGCTGCAAAGCATTTCTTCCTTTCTTTTCTCTGCAGGGTTAACATTTTGGGGAGCTCTCATCTTCCTCCTCCTTCCTCTCTGCACTGCTTCGGCAAGCCGAGGAATGGGCGGTCCTCTGGGGGGAGGCTCTGGCTGCCACTCTGGCTTGTGGGACTGATTTCCTACATTGAAAACTAATTAAAGTGAAAAACGTTTGGAAAATTTCAAGTATTCATAAAAATAGAATGATATATTGAACACCATGTACCTGTCGTCCTGCTTCATCAACATTGAGGATTTTGTTGGTAAACGTGAGTGCACCTGTTGCCACAATTACCCTGTACAGGCTATCTGGCTGCCGGGCAGAGCTGTACAGAGAATTAAGTGATCAAATGGGGGCATTGACCCCGAAAGCCTTTTAAGAACTCTCCCCAGCCCTCTGATTGTGTGATTTAACAAACATCTTCTAAATAGGAACTTTTGATAATATGCAGTATTTTTTTTCGATAATATGCAATATGGAACAGTGTTCAGATGTTTTAGAAGCCACTGTCTCTGGTCTGTTCCAGGAGACCATCCTGAATAAGAGAGTCCTTGTTTAGAGGGCTTTTAAAATTCTCCTGTGCTGCTCACAAGTCTTCTCCTTTTTGGTTTTGGTGGGAGGGGATTCTCGCCCCCATTGATACTCCCCAGCATTGGAGTCCAGTTCTGCGAGCATTCTCACAGGGCCTGGCTTCTTTGTCTGTTCCTGTGTTGTGCTCTTGAAAGGAATGTGAGCTATGTTAATAGGAACACTTAGATTTGGTGAGATCTGTCCAGAGGGAACTGGTTTTGAGAACTGGTGAAAGCCGCAAAAGTGTCATTTGGAAATCATTTCAGTTCAGATACAGAAACCAGCAAACCTGTTGCTGTTGAGTCGATTCTGACTCATGGTAACCCCCGTATGTTACAGGGTAGAACTGTTCCATAGGGTTTTCTTTGCTGTAATCTTTACAGAAGCAGATTGCCAGGCCTTTCTTTCACAGTGCCACTAGGTAGGTTCGAACCACCAACCTTTCAGTTAGTAGTTGAGCACTTAACCCTTTGCACCACCAAGTTGTTCTTTAAATTGAATGAACGTAGCTTTCTGAAAAACGTCCTGCATTGTCACTTCTTTCATTCTGCCACCAGTGTGTGAAAACTTCATTGACCGTCCCTGGGCCATGGCCTGAAATTTCACTGCCCTTTTGTCCTTTTATTATACCGCTCTGGCAGAACCCCATCTGTGGGGACGTTCATTCAAGCGCTTCCTCCCAGCCAGAGCTCAGGCTGTCCGCCCACCAAGAGGCAGTCTCTCGCATCCCAGCCGACAGGCACCTGTCAATCAAATTCCCCACCTAACTCAGCTCTCGCCACAGGACATCTGGTTCACCACAATGTGTTTCCCTTCCTCAGGGATCCTTCAGTCTCAGCCAATGACCCCCTCCTACTTTACAGAGAAAATAACAGCCATCCTCACCACCACCGTGGACCCTTTCCCTCCTAGCCTCTCAGGAACCTTAGGCTGTCGAGCAGCTCTTCTTCCTGGGTGTCTCCAGGACCGCCTGTCAGCTTCCTGACACGGTCTAGTCTCCACTGCCTTTACAGAAGTCCTTTCTGGATGCCATGACTTCCTCTAGCTCAGGCTTCTTCCACCTCATCACTGTTGACATTTGGACTGGATAGTTTTCTCTCTCTCTTTTTTTTTTTTTTCCCCTAATGTGGTAAAACTATATATAACATAAAGTTTACCATTTTAACTATTTTTAAGTGTACAATTCAGTGGCATTAATTACATTCCAAAGTTGTTCAATCTTCAGCACTATCATCTCCCCAGACAGGAACTCTGGACCCATTAAACAGTATTTCCCCATTTCTCCCTCCTCCCAGCCCTGGGTAACCTGTACTTTCTGTCACTATGCCTTTGCCTATTCTAGATAGTTCACGTAAGTGGAATGATAGAGTACTTTCGTATTTGGCTTCCTTTACTCAGCTTGTTTTCAAGGTGCATCCATGTCATAGGATGTATCAGAACTTCACTCCTTTTTGCAGCTGAGTAATACTCCATTGTATGGATAGACCATATTGTGTTTATCCATTCATTTGTTGGTAGACATCTGCATTGTTTCTATCTTTTGGCTATGGTGCTCCTATAAACGTTGGTGTGCAGTATCTGTGTGAGTCCCTGCTTTCAAGAGTCTTTTGGGTATATTCCTAGGAGTGGAGTTGCTGGGTCATGTGGTAGTTCTAACTTTTTGAGGAACCGCCAAATTGTTTTCCACGGGGGCTGCACCATTTTACAATCCTACCAGCAATGGATAAGGGTTCCAGTTTCTCCACATCCTGAACAACACTTGTTACCTTCCTTTTTTTTTTTTTTTTTTAAAGGTAATAGCCATCCTAGTGGGTGTGAGGTGGGATCTCATTGTGGTTTTGATGTACGTTTCCCCAGTGGCTAATGATGTTGTTGAGCATTTTTTCATGCGTTTTTTGGCCATCTGTATGTTTTCTGTGAAGAAATGTCTATTCAAGTGCTCGCTTGTTTTAAAATTGGGTTGTTTGTCTTTGTTGTTGGGCCAGATAATTCTTGAGGAGGCCATCCTGTGCATGGTAGGATGTTGAGCAGCATCCCTGGCATGTACCCGCCAGATGCCAGTAGCATCCCCTCCCCCAGTCATCACAGCCAAGAATATCTCCAGATATGGCCAAGTGTCCCTCTTGGGGCAGAATCGCCCGCCGGGTTCACCACTACTCTAGCTCTTGCCCTGCCCCTCCCCCACTCACAGAGCTGTCAAATTCAGATCCTTCTAGAAACATCCTCTTCCCTTGTCTTTCATGAGCCACACGCTCCTGGCTTTCTTCCTACCCTGAGACAAGACGTGCTCTGTCTCTCTTGCCAGCTCCTCCTCCTTTTCCCAGACTTTACTCAGGCATTCCTCTGGGTGCTTCCCTAGTCCCCTTCCTTTTCCCAAGCCTGCACTCTGGGTATGCAGGTTCACTTCCCACTGCAGCTTACATTGCCCATCAGTTTGCCACCTCTCTTTAGACCAGAAAGCTCTCCTGAGCTCCAAACCCCTCAGCAGCTTAAACTCAGTGTTTTCCAGACTGTCTTTCCAGTCTCTCTGCAAGCCTGCCACTTGCTGCCCTGTGTCCCCATCTCAGCAATGACCTGAACAGGAATCCGAGAGTGACTTCTGACATGCATCCCTGGCACTGGTCCTTCTGAATGCTTCTTCAGTCCATGCCTTTTCCTCCATCTCCCCTGCCCCCGCCCTATATCAGAATACCGTAGTCCTTGGCCTGCACCCCTGCACTAGCCTCCTGGAAGGCCACCCATTTCCACCCTTGCTCCCTCCAGACCATTCTCCTCACTGCCACAAAGGGGTCTCTTAACAGTCCACGTGTGACCCCGCCCCTCACCTGCTGTAGAACCTGCAGCTCTCAGAGGCCTTCTCTGGCCTGGCCCAGTCAATGTTAGGCACTTCTCTCTTGGGTTTCCGTAGCACACGGGCAGACCTGCAGCCTGGTGTTCCCCACACTGCCCTGCAGTTGGAATTTCCTTGTCCAGTAGGTTGATAGAACTCTTGGAGGGAAAAAAACAAAACCAAAACCAAACCAGTTGCCATTGAGTTGATTACAACTCATAACAACCCTGTGCATGCTCCATAGAGTTTTTACTGGCTGATTTTTCAGAAGTAGTTCACCA